CCTTCAGTCACATCCCGCAAACTACTAAACAGTCGGTTGATGAGCTAGCTAACGCTACGCAGTGGTTCCCGCACACTTACAACTCTCTTTACTTTTAGAACTCATGTGACGCGAAATGTCACTTGTTAGCTTGTGAAGTAATTATCAGCCGCAGTGTCGGCATTTTAACATTGAGTTCTACGAGAAGCACTTGTAGACTACGGCTTGCTCGAGCAGCTTGAGCGTACCGAAGTTACATGTATCAATCTGACCAATTACAATTTCGTCTCGGTGCTTACTTCAAAGCTGAAAGCTGGAAGCTTATGCAAGCCGCCTAAGCACGACGATTGCTTTGGCAGTCCTAATAACTCAATTATATGAGAGATTCGATCAATGGCTTCAACATAAGTCTGCAAGGTATGTCTCTCAGAGCTGAAGGCTCTGGTTTAGATTGGTAGAGAGACAGCCAGACAGCCAGTAAGACACGTCTCTTGCAAATGACTTGATTGACAAGCCTACGCTGTCTGTCCTGTAGTATATCACACTTTGCATGGCTTCCGCCTGACCTGTCTAATACTTTATACAGTTTTTTGCATTAATGACTCGGAGTAGATGTGAAGCGGACTTTTCTCCGATACTTGGGCTTCTTACTTGAATATTGCTTGTCCGTGATAGAAAGGACCTCCGTCCTCTGAACAGAAATAGAATAGGCAGCCAGCTACTGAACAGTATTCTCTGTCATTCGTCAAAACGTTTCTTGACCCGGGAAATATCATGCACAACTTGAGTGTTCTGCATTGAACAGGCATCCCGACTATCTAGTTGCCTTATGATGCTGGGAATCCCATTCAGTGTTGAATGACGTTAGTGTATTAACCTCTAGTTTTCTCTAATGCCAATACATTTTTGAGTTTTCAATCAAATGTGTTGAAATAACTTAGAATGGTGATAATATGGATTATGAAGGAATAATACGTGATCTGTTATTACGTTACGTGCTGTGGCGATGCATTGACGCTGACGCTATCCAGCAGTCGATGGGGTACTGGTGCGAGCTGTTTGATGGCTCACAGGAACTTGGGATGACCAGGCATAGCTATGGCCATGAAATTATGCAGACAAGCTCATGTTGTCTATTAAGATCCTCCAGTTGCCAGAGATCGGGTATGGATCTGTGCTCCACGAAACTCGATCGTCTCTGTAACAATCTCACGTGCCCCAGTTGAGGAAACGGCAACGGCACTCCAACGGCTAGATGGAAGGGTCGCTTGGACCACTTACGTTGGGGAATGCCAGGTGGTTGGGGAAGTTCGGGGAACAAGTCTCGGGGGGAGCATCGGCTGACAACGTGGGAAGGATTCTGCAGGGAGGGCTGGCAACGTGGCAGGCCGGGGGGTTGCAGAAGAATGATGCCCGGCGGGCTCAGGATCGAAAGGTCCAGCCCATTTTGTAGGTATGCTGGTCTCGATTGATAATACATTCCGTCCGCAGCATTCTGGAGTGATGCGGGAGAGCGAGAAGTCTTGATCCCGTTGGGGCTAACTGTACGGAAATAATGTAGATGGAATGCGAGCATAGTCGCATTCTTGGGTGTGTGTAGGTATTGGGGTGTGGAAAGAGGTCACATGCTATTTGGGTAACGTAACGGTACACATGACAGAATGGACAGAATGGTACTCCGTACAGGAGGGGATGAGCAGACATGAGATGAACAAGGCCAGCCCCTGACTGTCGACGAAATCTACACCAGCCGGCAAACGAGCAGTGACACGAAGAAGAAATCCTACAAATTTCTTTTTCCTCCATCCCTTGATCCCCTTTTTCTCATAAGAAAATGATGGATCTGATGTGCTTGGAGCAAAAGTAATGTAGGTAAGACTTGACGCTGTTAGTAGACTTGTACCCGGTACAAACGGCCAGATGCACATCCAAGAAGTGTAGCGGGGCAGCAGTGCAAATTTCGCAACCGAGGAACCTCCGATAAGTACCGCACGGGAGAATGAGGGGCACGAGACTTGGCCTGCTATCAGCAACTACTGTAAACAAATTGGCATCTGGGGCAGATCCCATTTCATGGAAGCAGGCAATTCCTTATCGGAGATCATCTTCAGTCTTACACTAAAGGACTAGGGACTCTACCTTGGGTGTGTTTCGGCACGATTCGATTCAACAAGAACCCTGGCCTAGCACACAGAAACCCAACACACACAGAAACGAAACAAGAGAAAAGAGAAGAGTCGCTACGCAGTACTGTTAGGTGTTTGAGGGTATGAGGGCAAGGAGGGGCTGTCGAATCACCAATTGAGTCACACTGTGACACAATCACATTCACACATGCACATATGCATCTCATGCTCCAGTTTTCCCCCTCATACTTCAGCCAGGCTGAGCCCGTACGGTTACGGAGCAGAGGGCAATGGAGGGGCATCTCAGGCCTGGCCTGGACGCCCACGGTCCGCGAATAGACAGAGTTGCGGGTAATGGGAGGACCCTTGCCTTGCCCTCACGGCTCCTCTCCACCGTCCACGTCCTTGGGCTGGATTAGGCGAAAATCCAATCCCACTGTGGGCAAAGCACGCAAGTTAATAATGGAACGGAGTCGGAAGAAGGCCACAATTCGAGATGGCCCTCGTGGTCCTGTAGGGCTGGGCGTTGTCGAGGACCTCGGCGATGTTGTACAGACTCTCTTGCTCATGCTGCTGCTGCCTTGGAGATTTCTTTGGGAGCACCGAGGACAGTCTGACCATTGCCCAACCATGTCGCTGATATCTGCGATCGGAATAAAGCAGTCAGTTCAGTTCATGCCTCGGTCTTTTTCAGAATAGGCCCCGGAACCTGAATGAGGCGGCGCCACAATCGCTTTGAGTATTTGCTCGCCTTTAGCTTAGCGAGTTTCCTTGTCTCGCATTGCGCAAGTACCCGTGCCGGGGCTTGACTGAACAGAGAGTCCTAAGAGGAATCCATCACCAACTTGATTGGGGAAGATGAACACCACAGCCCAGCATTTAGAATCTTTTCCTATCAAAATGGAACGGGCGAGGATGCAGATAAGAGCGTTGATTGTAGGTGCATGTCTGACCGGACTGACCTCATCAGACATGAACGAATGCACTCCATACCCTGCTCTGCTCTGCTTCTGCTTCTGCTTCGCCTCTTGGGTTCCGAGAGACAGCAGCCGGTCGGCAGCACGTTTGGTAGCAAGCGGGAAGCAAGGCAACCCAATCTGGGCCCAATCTGGAGGCATGACGATGTTTGGACAATAATGAATGGGTGAGGTTCATGACGGTGAATGTCATACGAAGCAACGGAATACTTGATCATTTTTTCCACTGCATTTTACCGCAGCGCACCCGTACTTACTTCAAACTTGTACCTTAACTGCTGTTTTGGTAGGTAAGTAACGGAAAGAAAGTACCCGACCGCACCATCCTTTCTCCCCTGAACCACACGGAATGAGAGGTATACGCAAGGTACCCCGTGACATTCGTTCAATGTCCACTGTTCAGTGTTTCCGTCAGCTTCTTCGACCCCAGAGAGCTCCGAGGGTGCGCGCGCACGCACACAAACAGAGCCAAACATCCGCAGCCGCAGCCGCAGCCGCACGTCAGCAGCAAATCAACCGCTGCCAGACTTGGTGCTCCTGCAAGTACGAATACCTACCTACCTCACCTTACCTTAGTACCTGACGTGCCGACTGGGACAAGAGTAACAAGGGCCGTCCTTTCTTTCAGCAGGGCACACCCGCTGTCCATCCCACCTCTGCCACCCGACCTCTTCCTCTTCCTCCCACTGCGGCCAAGCCAAAGTGCCAACCTGGGAACTCCGACGACCGACCCTCCGACTCTTAAATCCCTACTGCGTAGAAAGCCAGCGATTCCATTGGGCCAAAAGAGCACCTTTACCTTACCTAAGGTAATCGTACCTCAAACCCACCGCTGCGCAATCCAATCTCGACGACGTCCGGTGGCCCATCTCACCCTCACCACAGCCATTCTTTCTTCCCGAGTCCAAAAACCACCACGCATCCACGAATCCACACCCACACACACCCACACACACACACACACACACACCACCCCTCCTCTCCCCCAACACCGACAAGGAGAGAGAAAGACAGCGAGACGTACGGAGGACAGAACCCACGCGACCACATTCGAAGCGTCCGATACATATCTATCCGACAACCGACGACAGGCTCCGGCTTCAGCCCATCCTTTCCATCGCTAATTCTCCTTGCACACGAGGCTTAGAGCGCCAACGCGCCCTCTGTACAACAGCAATCACCGTACCTTTTCCCGCTTTTGTACGTACCCTGGTCCTCTGGCTACTGTCCTACTCCTCCTCCCCCCCCCGAACTCGTTGCCTCACTGCCTGGGCTCGCTGCTCCCTACTGCTTTGCTTCATTCGTGGTGCTTCCTGTTGCTCTCCGCTTGCCTGGAAAGAGTACGCGCGTTGCGAGCTGGATTGACTCGAAATCCCCTCTGTCGTCCATCGTTTCGCGGCTGGGTTTTCCCCTCTCCTTCGAGACTGGATCGTCAATTTTCCCTCATCTCTTCCCTCCCCCTCTATTATCAATCAGCTCCTCTTTTCTGGGCCCGATGCGCCGGCCCCTCCACTCCGCCGGCGACAACATCTGCAGACCTCACCACCACCACCACCACCATCAAGCCCTGCTTTTCCTGCTCTGCCTTCGCTTGTCAGCAAAAGCCTTCTAGACAATCTCTTTGCTGACACTTCCTCCTCGCTCAGCCGCCAAGTCATTCAAGCGACCGATACCCCCAAACCCGTCCTTCGCATGCGTTGAACCTAAGGTATAGAGAAAACGATTGGCCTTTTATTACTCTCGCTACGATTCGATTTCTGCGGCCGATACACGCCCTTTGTCTATCCCATTAAGACATACTAATTTCGCATGCTCAATCATCGGATTGCTGCCCAGTTGATTGTTTTATCGCTCTTTGTCCATCGTCGCCGCGACTCGTCCGGCGCCGTGACATAGACAACCCACAAATACCGCCACCATGTTCTGGAGATTTGGCGGATACGCCAACATATCCACCATCGATACTATCCTCGAAAAGCCCGAATTTACCGTCGAAGACCTCCTCGACGAAAGCGACCTGATTCAAGAGCTCAAGCAGCACAATACGAAGCTAATCGAATACCTCCGCGAGGACAATGTGCTCAAGACTCTGCTCGAATATGTCGTCGCACCCAAGTTAGAGCCCGTCGCCACCCCAGAACCAGATGAACCCGCCGAGGAGATCAAGGGCAAGGGTCGCCTCCTTCCCTTTTCAAGACCTCGCGCCTCATCCCGAGCTACCGATACCGACAACGAGGAGGAAGAGCAGGAGAAGAAGCGCAATCGCTATGCCTACGTTGCTGCCGAAGTCTTGTCATCCGACACGTGGTCCATTTACGAGGCCATGATGGAAAACCAAGACCTGGTGCGGGAATTTTGGCAGTTTCTGAAGCGCCCGACGCCTCTTGACCCCCTGCAAGCCAGTTACTTTACGAAAGTCAACGAGGCTTTGTTCGACAAGAAGACGGAGGAGATGGTTATCCTTCTCAAATCTCTCCCCGAGGCCGTGCCCGACTTGCTCCGTCATGTTGAGTGCCCTATGATTATGGATCTGCTTCTCAAGATCATTGCCCTAGACCGCACAGAGGGCGGCCAGGGTGTTGTAGAGGTGCGTGCAGCCCAGCAATCCCCCCTTCCCCCATCCCCGCCGAACAAGGTTGAGAGCTAATTGTATCCTTTTTGCAGTGGCTATACGGCCAAGACGTTGTGCCGACGCTGCTATCCTGCCTCAGCCCGGAGCACAGCTGGGTTGTTCAGACAGCTGCAGGCGACTTCATCAAGGCCATCATTACCATTTCGGCCAATGCATCGCAAAACGAGCAGCAATGCATCGGCCCGAACGAACTCACCCGCCAGCTGGTGTCGCAACCCTGTGTGGAACAGCTGATCAAGTACATGTTAGGAGGTGGAAACCCGCTGACCGTGGGTGTCGGCATCATTATCGAAGTCATCAGGAAGAATAACTCGGACTATGATCCAGACGTTGGCACCGAAGCCAACTCTGTTCCCTCGAGCCGAGACCCCATCTATCTAGGAACCCTCCTCCGCTTGTTTGCGCAACACATTCCCGATTTCGTCAACCTGATTATGAACATCCCGGTGCAGAAGGGACCGTTGGAATCGACCTTTGGCGAAAAGATAGAGCCTCTTGGCTTCGACCGATTCAAGACGTGCGAGTTGATGGCCGAACTGCTTCACTGCAGTAACATGGGCCTACTCAATGAAGTTGGTTCCGAGGACGTGATTGCAGCTCGAGATGCTGAGCGTCAGCGCTTAAGAACGGAGGGTAAGCTTACCCCAAACCGTGGAGAAGAACCGCCATCATCTACGGATGACTTGACGATGCGCATCGGTCGTTCTTCTCCCGAGGAGGGACGTCGTTTAGAGGTAACCAATATCTCAGACGATGACGGATTCGAAGAGGTTGAGCCCAGCCGCGAAATGAACGAGGACACGTCCCACGAGTTCGTAAAAGCCGAAGAAGAGATTCCTGTCGCTGCACCAGCCTCGTCCTTCCTGGACAGAGACGAAGACGACTTTGTGGACGAGCCGCTCAGCTCGCCCAGACTCAACGTCGCAGATGACAAAATCAAGGAACAACGATTTGATGACCCCGATCTGGTGGTCGCTCCCCTTTCGCCGAACAAGCCAAAGACTGCTTCCATCGATGAGACTGCTGCAGCAGCAGCGGTTTCCGAAGCCAAGTCCGAATTGGAGGCGAAGCCGGATACCGTTGACGCCAAGAGTGAAGAGCCGGCTGCGAAAGAATCCAAATCTGAGAAAACTGAGAAGACTTCCGGCGCAGACGACCTGGCTGACAAGACCTCGGATGATGCTACCATTAACAAGGTAGAGGAACTTTCGCTTGAGGAGAAGGCTGATCAAACGGTTGTTCCCGAGGACAATCAGAAGGGTGACGAGTCCGACTCTTCTGTTGTCTATACGCCTAGCGTCACCGATTCTGAGGCGAAAACCGAGCCAGCAGAGACCGCGCCGGCAGTGCCTGAACCTCCCCAGCACCCCGAAGACATGCCAGCCCCTCTGTTTTCCAAATCCACCACTGATCCTGATGCGACTGCGGACAAGGACGATACTTCCAAGGAGACCGAATCCGAAGTTGAGCCAGCTCCGGAGGTTCCCATGGCCCCTCCAGTTCCCGAGGTGCCAGAAGCCCCCGCGGCTCCAGGAACTGACGACGATGCGACAAGGGAGGCTGGAGACCTACCGCCTGCTGTTCCCGATCGGCCTGACCCGAACAGCGTTAAGCCTGTTGTCGGCGACTACCTCAAGGTGCAATTTGTCGAATACCGTGTTGTGCCCACGATTCTGGTGAGTTCCTCGTGATGATGCGTCATCAATCCAAGCTAATCAGAGTTTAGTCCTTCTTCTTTGCTTACCCGTGGAACAACTTTCTCCATAACGTGGTATATGATATCGTTCAGCAGGTTTTTAACGGGCCTATGGACAGAGGCTACAACCCGACCTTGGCAGTTTCACTGTTTGAGGCTGCGGATATCACGACGGCTATCATCAAGGGCCAACTCGCTAGTGACGAGTCACAGGCCAGGATGAAGACTCGCATGGGTTACATGGGACATCTCACTCTCATCGCTGAAGAGGTGGTGAAGTTTACGGAACGTCACCCTCCCGAACTCTTGTCTGAGACTGTTCTTGAACGGGTTATGGACCCGCGATGGATCAGCTATGTGGAAGGCGCCCTCGCCGAAACTCGCGAGCGAGACAACGCCATTCTCGGCGGAGTCCGTCCCGAGGTGGCTATGGGTAACCGGGCCGGCATGTCTGGCAACGGGCTGGCAGCAGTCGGTCTCTCTGGCCTGGGATCGTCCTTTTCCAACTCCCAGAGCAATACTGGCTCCAACGCGCTCGCTGATGCTGGACTCAACGGTAACGCAGACCTTCAAGAAAGCAGCGGTAACGGTATTGGGCCATTCGCCATCAGCTCAGGCACTCTCATGTCTGGCTTCGGCAGCTCCAGTGATGAGGAGGACGAGGGGGAAGAAGAGAACGAAGACGATGTCAACAATGAGGTGAGTGATATGCTCTCAGAGCTCCGTGAGATGGAACCACCTGCATTGGACCCTTGGACGCAATCTCTTATCGACGACAATAACCCCGACGAGGACGAGGAAAAAGACCGGGAAAAGGATGCGTAGTGCGCATACGAGGACGGAGGACTCCATGACAGTCGAATATCCCAAGAGGATCACACCGACGGCGCCGGCGATGACTTTGGACGTAGGATAGATGTAGAGGACGAAAGCAACGATTCGCCGAACCTTGTATCTTGGGACGATAAGGGGGTACGGGGCAATGAGTTCGGAGATCTTGAGTCTGATGAGGAAATGCACATGATTCGGCCTTCCCTCAATTTCATGTCATGGCTTAGAAGGAGAGCGGATAGACATATCGATGACGAGAGCCTGGGAGAAGGGTAGAGAGGGCTCGGGTATATAGGAGAGGGTGGTGTTGGGCGTATTCATGACATATCTTGTGGCGGCGAGTAGTGTAGGATTACACATCCTTGTTCGTGCCGGCGTCGATTCCTTGGGATACCAGACAACTTTGGACTTTTCTTATCCACTTCAACCACTTGCGAGCCGGGTCATCTTTAACAGCAAAACGACAATGACGAAACTTGCCTCCGGGATCTTTCTTACAATCGTGCGCCAATGTCGGAATGAATCTCACCAGACTAACACGCATTTACTAGTTCCGGGCTTATACCGATCCATTGAACAACACCTCATCGTCTCTCAACCCGCCATCGATCCCTCCGCCTCCGCCGCCGCCGCCGCCATTGAACAACCCTCCTTCTAGAGCGCGGTTGCAGCTTGCAGCTCGTTTGGCTATGCACCAGAAGAACCAGGCCGCTGCTTCTCAAGAAGACGACGACGACGACGACAAGGGCGAGTCTGGTGAGGGCGAGCGGCTAGAGAACCCGTTTGCCGATGACGAAGACGACGAAGAAAATTCGAGCGACGAGGACGACGAAGACCGTCATGGTCCAGGGGCAGCGGCAGCTGTTGCAGGTGCCTGGGGTCAACCTGGAAGTGGGTCGTGGTGGCGAGGGGTGGGACGTCAGGGGCGGCCACGATTTGACGGACAAGATGATTCGGACGAGGAAGACGACGATGAGGAGTTTGGTGATTTTGCCATGCCCGAGGTGGAGCCAGCGCCGGGTACGGATCCCAACGAGAAGGTGATTCTAAAGCCTCTCGCGGTACACCCGCCGCAGGGTGCTTCAGGAGGCAAAGCCTTTAGCGGTCTGTGGCCGTTTGCAGGTAAGAAGGATGGCAAGGACGATGGTGAGAAGGGGCCATCGGAAGAGACGGCGACGGGAGACGACGAGAAGCCGATCCAGGCGGCCGTCGAGGCTGCTCGGCGGACGAGCATCGAAGATCCGGATGACGATGAAGAGGTTGTGGTGCAGAAGCCGACAAGCCTCTGAGACGAATAGACGCGCCCATGGCTTAATGCGATGCGTAGACGGTCAGGAGTCACCGTTTTGTACAATTACGTGTTTGGTTTACGCTGCATCTGTAAAGTATGATTGAATGGAGAACACGCACGAATATTTTGTCTAGCTGTGAGGTCGTCTTTTCTCTTCCTCTAGTCTCCAGTTGCCACCGCTTCAAGTTTTCTATCATTATGGGAAAATCAGCAAAGATCACGAGACGCTGTAAGCCATTATGTGAGCATTCCAGCTCAGGCATATGTTTGGCTTGTTGTGTTCGCGGTCCCAAGTCCGGCCATCCCACCGGAGCTCCGGCCGCATTTCGGGGCGCCATGCCGAGATCACTTTTTGTTCAATGACTGAATGAGACCTGTGAAAAGCAAAAATTGTCCGCTTCTGGACGAGACGAGAGTCACCACCGCCTACCTTTACAATGAGTCAGACCAGCCATCTGAGCTGACTGATTCGGCTGCCTGACGGATGGGACGGGGCCAGGGACTTTCATGCTTTCTGAGGAGCTTGGGGCCAATACCCCAACTACCTTTCCTTACCTTACCTTTCCTTGTCTTGTACCGGAGGCGATAACGATAAGAGGTGATAATATTAAGGTGTTATTGTTGGAGGGAGGGGAACCTCGACCCCCGTCGATGTCTCGACCAGCAACACCAGCCAAAACTAGAAACACGCACTGGAGTCAAGCACAGGCAACATGCATCCCGTCCGACAATGCGCAGGGCCATGTGCCTGAGCCCTGAGCCCCTCCAAAACCTAGCTGTTTGACGTGCCGGGCAAGCTTAGCATGAACGTGTGGCCAACGTTCCCTGCACCCCTGGACCCTCTCACTCCAGCCCCTCTCGTTGTTTCTTGGTGGGAGAAGGAATGGGTGGTGCTTTCTGAGGACTGCGGTGCATGACGTTGAGTTGGAGGGAGCTGGTGTTGAGGAAGGTAGATGAATTCGTGAAGAATCCTCGAGCTGGCTGACTACGGTGCTGAATTATACCATTGGACCTGTCGGGCTCTGCATCTTTTCATTCGTGCCGATTCATCTACGCCACCATCTGTCGTCATGTAAGTCCAGCCGTGTGTGTTTCTCTTGACTTGACCGTCATCACCGCCCGTGCTCCTCTTCCTTCCTGTGGCCATCGTATGTCCGGGTCCTCGGCGTCTTTGCGATTCCCGGACGCAAGCAAGCTCATACATCAGGCTACACCATTCTGCCTCGTGAAACCGAGAGTCCGGCACGCCGAGTAGGCCTCCTTCTCCTTCTCTCTCTGCCTCCAAGTCACGTCAAAACGCACGATGACGCCTCTCTGTGGCTCCTGTCGCTCTCTGCCGCTGACTCCCTCTGCCGATTACCGTCTCGTCCCAGCCTGAAGTCGTTCGTCTGTTTGTGAGAGAAGACACGTCGCGGCTAATGCGCTCCGGTGTTCTGGCAGATTCTTTTCTTTTTGGTCGTCTCGGGACCATCGACCTCTCCGAATCCGTACCTGGGCCATCGTCGTCACCGGCGAAAAGACTGCCAGGCTTTTCCGTTCTGCGAGTTTGAGCGGGCATTGGCGGTGATCATATAACGCCGACATCACCCTTTGTCGCAAGAGTGTGAAAGACTTTTTTCCGAGACATGGCAGATATGGGTGTCGCAGGGAACGCAGAGTCCGGTAAGCCGGTTTACCAGCAGGCGCCTTCGATGCTCAACCGCATCGTGTACGGCACCAAGATTTCGACACTGCAGCATTGGTACTTTCAAAAAGCTGGCTTCGAGGCGTGGAAGTCGTACTTTTGGCCACCCGCCATACGGCCCGATCTCATCAAGCAGTATGACTGTAGGAAGGCATTGCCAGTTCGGTATGGTGTTTCCCTTTTGTGAAAACGAAAACACTGCTAACCAATACGCAGCATCTTCTTTCCCTCCGACTACGACCAAACCTCCCCGCAAACCCTCCCGACCCTCTTCACAATCCACGGAGGCGGCTTCTCCATCGGCGTCCCCGACGACGACGAAGAATGGAACCGCACCTTCGCCGACCTCAACAACTGCCTCGTCGTCGCCCTGCACTACTGGAAAGCCCCTTGGGCCCCCTGGCCGCACGCCCTCCACGACTTGGAGGCCCTCTACCTCGCCATCGTCGACGACGAGTCCCTCCCCATTGACAAGTCGCGCATCGCCATGGGCGGCTTCAGCGCGGGAGGGAACCTTACGCTGTGTCTCTCGCAGATGAAGAGCATTAAAGAGCACAGGACGGCTGCGCCGAAGGCGATTGTGCCAATTTACCCGCCTACCGATTTCGTTACGCCGACGGCGTCGAAGAGGGATCGCAGGCCGTACAAGGTTGGGAAGTTACCCGGCATCCGCGGCCAGAAGAAGGACTTTGTGCTGGATTTCGCAGAGGTGTTTGACTGGAGCTACATCCCCTACGGCACGAACCTCCGCGACACGCGCATCTCGCCTCTGTACGCCGAGAGGACCGATTTCCCGGATAACGTGTGCGTCGTGGCCGCGGAGCTGGATTACCTCGCCTACGAGGCGTGGGAGCTGGCGTGCAAGCTCGGCGGGAAGGGAAAGCCTAGTTCGGGAGTGGTCGGGCGGAGCGAGGTGGCCAAGACGCAGGAGCTGGTTGAGGAGGGGGACGAGAGGTTCGGGTGGGAGGTGAAGGATGGGAGGGGCAGTGTGAAGTGGCTGCTTGTGCCTGATGTGATTCACGCGTTTGATTTTCACGAGATGGGGGCCGCGGTATCGGATCCGGTGAGTGTGAGGGATGGGAATGCGAAGGCGGTGAAGGTCATGAGGGTTGTTGGGGACTGGTTGAGGAGGACTGCTTGGAAGGTGTGATTTGGACGGGGGAGAGTTGGCGTGGGAGATGTTGGATGGGGTGTGTTTGAGGTCTTGTTGGCTTGGCTTGCTTGATGATGGACTACGTTGGCGTTGGGGGCAAGTTATGACAGAGACGCATGACTTACAAGATAGAACTGATTACGAGCGACAAGAAATACCTCACATGATTCAAGTTGGTCAGACGAGGGGGATGCTTGAGGTCAAAGTGAACACGGTCGTATCATGGCAAGTGTGACTGTTGGTTGCTGAGGAAGACTTCCAACTACTGCCTTCACCCACATCACCAACACATAGCCAGACCCCCGGCTTCTTTAGCCGTCCGGAAGAAGCGGTTAGACTTGAAGTTGCGGCCTTCGTCAAGGATGTGTCTCTATCAACCGTCGTGATGCGGCCGCGGTGCTCTTAGGTTACCTAGTAAGTTTTGGATACAACTCTGCAGCATACATATCGAGAATCACCACCGCTGGGTTACCAACCGCTTGAACATCCTTTATGCTACCTAGTGCCCCAAGGACTTGACTGATTGGGAACTAGGCCCACAAGTTACACCGGTTGAGTTGGTTGAGTTGGACATCACGATTCCGAATGTGGGTGGTTGGGTTGCAACTTGCGAGAGACCTGCTGACAAGTGATGAGTTGATTAGTATGAAAACGTCATAGAGACCCTATTTTTGTATGTTCAATGGTAGTGATACTGTTATTTATGAGAGGTATCTGTGTCATTTTCGAAATCCATCGCCCTGCTGTGTCATCGACGCAAGCCATCTACAGCAAGTCCATGGTTGAAATGCTGCCGAGCATAACGGGCTACGAGGATCTTTCATAGGTATTAGTGATGATTTGCCGACCGAGATTGCCACTTAAGCGCCAGAATAAAGGCAGTATGGGGTGGTTTTCACGAAATTTCGGCGGGAATGGTTGGCTGCTAAATGGATATATTCATAATAGATGTGTGACTGTCCATGGAACGCTCGAGCATGACAGACGTACTAGAAGTAAATTGCCATCTGATCATGGAAAGATGCCGAATATACGTGAGGAAGCAAATTTTCAGTCTCGTGAACCTCTAGGGGGACTTAGATAGGAGAAACTGGCCATTGTTGCGTAGGCACATGATTAATCAATATGTCTGCTTTTGGCTTCGATGTTCCCATCACCAAACATCTGGATGTGTACCTCTTTGCAGCAAGTTCTTCAGCCACAGGTTTGATCTTGATAGAGAATACAGCAGAACCCGGGTTGGCCACGAAGAAGGTTGCATATACTGCGTGAAGAGCAGCAGGGGGGCACTGCAGGTCCAGCAAACTTGTTTGTCGATTCATCGATATTGCATCATTTGACAATGCTCCCAGCCAAGATGAACCGGGATTGTGGGACATGACCCTCTATAGCTTTACAAAACGGACGTCATGAATAAGGCGCAAGGAAAGGAGATCTACAGCACCTTTGGTTTTGTCGGCAGGACGACAATCTATAACCTCGCCAGTTGGGATCTATTCATAGTCGAGATAATCTGCGCCCTGAGACATCATCTCTTAACTCCATTATTTCGTAGCCGATGTGGTTTCCACCCGGGCTGGAGCGTTTTCGGGCAAGCTTGTGCTTCAGATGAGAGTGTATGCATTCCCGCAACAGAGAGGAATGAGAGGTTTCACCCCGTTGATATTAGCAACCCAAATGAAGTACCATGTTGTCCAAGAGACAACATTGCCCCCTGTCGAATGCAGACAGCAAACATGACCGATTTTCATCATGGCTTCCTGCAATCGTAAGTGTGACTGCCTCAATACTCTCGATATCACCGTTGCTGGTACCCAGCGATGAACCCGTGGTCGATGACAAGAACTCGCGATTGCAAAGACAACTCCACCTGACGATCTGATTGCTCAACCAGGCGCGTCCCCGTCACCGTACATGTACGTAGGGTGACACTATACACACCCTATCAAATTCAATGCTACTGCTGCGCCGTCTGACTGCGTCGATTTTCGGTGTCCATCCCGTCAGCCCTGCACTGGGATACAACTGTCCCCTCCCGCGAGTGGGCAGCTTACCTGACCCTCTCTCGGGCGGTTCGATCGTGCCGTACGAAACCCCCAACGCGGCGGGCGCACTGCACACACACACGCACTCGATAACCGCCCTTTACCGCGGAAGCCTGGCGAGATACCACTTGGTTCAAATTGCTTTTACGCGCTTCCGCGGGGGCGGTCGTGAGATTGCCGCTTGGCGTGGGAAACTCATTCGGGAAAAGCGGCTTGTTCATAGTTACGTGGGGGCTAGACAGTAGTACGTGCTGAGTCGGTGTCGCGTGTACATGTGAGCCTAGCTGGATGAAATACGACACAGTTCAAGCGTGCAGTGTGGATGAACGTCAAATGCGCCTTTGTGAGGTTTGTCCAGAGGGAGGACTAGTGGACGGGTTGTACACATGGCGACCGCCGGACTTCCGTGTGGGAGCGGGGCGGAGGTGAAGGGGCAGGAGGACGGATGCGCTCGGAGGTGCGGGAGCCGGAAGGCACTGAGAGATCGACAGTGGAAGGATTTGGGCATGCTTTCGCTGACGGGTTGGTCAAGTCGCACATGGAAGTGGATGAATGATAGTCTGGGGTGTCCCTTGAGATCTCATTCGTATGTCATGAATCTTATTATCCTATGAGGATGAAGCAGGCATTTGGCATCATTGCAACGAGGGTGAACACGACTTACACGGCCGTGTACAAGCTCATGACCGAGGACGCGGGACTAAGGACTGAACAGGACCTCGGCTGACTCGCTCGTACAAGCAATCAGTTCAGCTCAAGACGATTTGAACGACAGAGACACCGATCGGTTCGACGAGTCCGTCGGATTGGGGAGGCGACCTCCCATGTAGCTTGGCAGTTGTCCATCATGTGGCGAGCTTGTGTCAAGGATAAGTTTTGAGCAAAGTTGACGCTATTCTTCTTCTTTGGGGCATGTGCTGCTTATCATAAGGTTGGCCGATGATGGCCGAGACCAATCCTGGAAGCTCCTTTCGAGTGAGAGTTCTGATTACGGTCTCAGGGGTTTCCCCTTTCTCTTCGCGATCAGCCTGTTTTGGGGGCGCTTCATGATATTTACTATTAGTCACCTGGGTTGGTAGGTGCCTCGTCTCTGCGCAAGATGGGAGGAACAATGCAGATGGATCTCTGGAGCCCCTGCCGCCGTCGGGAGATGGAGCAGAGGGCGAAAGCCCGAGAGTCGATGTCGGACGGAGGTGTCAAGCTAGAAGGGGGAATTGGGCCCGTGTGGTGGTGGAGGACGCTCGCTGTGTTAGAGCTGGTGGGTAAGCTTGGAAGCTCTGCTCAACTGGTTGTCTTTTTCTGTTTGAATCCTTCTTCTGTTGCCTCGGTCTCAGGCCTACCTGTGTATGAAACTTTTTGGTCAGATAGGTCAGATGAGCTTGCACGCGTGTTTCGTTGGAGATTATTTTCGTCGACTTTTGCTGCCACCGCTACGAAAGTTCTTGCTGCTCTGTTTCTGTTGGAGTCGTGGTGAACTGAGTGTTGGGGGTTTGTGAGGCGGTATAGGGTGCTTTGTTCTCGCGGGGCCATTTGTACACGGTACCTGACATTCTGTTGCTCTCGTTTGATAGAGCTCAGAGCAACGGTAACATCGTGCCTTTGGGGTTTGGTGTTGGTGTTGGTGGTTGACGTTGACAGCAGTCCTCAAGCGGCTGAAGGGTTGCTGCCGCGTACGCCACGTACGTCTCAATGGCATAAAGGTGGCAGTGACAAGAAAGAAAACCGGGGTAAGTGGGAGGCGTTGAAACATGGAAATTGAACAGCATCGCAGGAAGTGGATGCGGATTATGAAGGTGAAGATGGAGAGGCCTCATTGACATTGCCATTAAGCAACAGGGTTGGACCTGAATTGAGGGAGTTCTGGCCACTGATGCTGACTGCGCAAAGACGTGCCGAATACACGAGATTCCGTCCGATCATGAGCGGAAGCGGTTATCTGAGGGACACACAGAGGCTGAGAGAGAGAGAGAGAGTGAGAGATAAAAGGTAAAATGGAGGAATTGATTACGAGAGTCAACTGTTCCTGGTTCCCAAAGTTTGCCATCCTGCGAATTATGCTGGGCCTGCCGGGGCCGAGAACGCGAGTGAGGGGAGGGGGGAGGAGGGTCACATTTAGTAATACCCTTAAAAAGTTGACAGTCTGACTGCGTGGAAATGGCGACCTTCACTTCAGCCTTCTAGCATGTGTAAGACGGAGGAGGACGCGAGGTTTGAGGTTCAACGGGCGGGTGAGCTGAGTAGAAGGTAAGAAAGTGAGTTGGGGATTTGAGTTTCGGACAGGTGAGAATGGAAGCAGGTGATTGCTGGTGGAGATGTTGTGAAGGAAGGCTACCTTTTCAGGACACCGAAGATGAGAGAGAAAGAGACAGTGAAGCAAGTGTCGTGTCAAGCTTTGGTGATGCTTCTGTCCAGCGGTTCCAGCCCCCGTTCGGCGAGGGGGGAGACGGCGATAGACCGGCGTTCTTCACCGGAGATGACACAGCTGGAGGCCGCGTCTTCCAGCATGATGCCGGTCTACCGTCTTGCATGTAGACGGGAAACAAGCAAAGACCAATTAGTGGGCTGGGCCGTTTCTATTCCTGAAGAGGAGGAGAGAGCCTGCGAGCTGCGTAGTGCATAGTGCACTGCACCACCAAAGTCACCTTGAACAGACGCCATAAGCTGGGGGGGGGGGGGGGGACTCAGCCCCCTTGGCTAACGCAAGGCACCACGAGCATAGCCGCAGCGCACCCAAGTTCCGTCAATGTGAGAGCGTCCCGGCGCTTGTTGGATTTAGCAGGCTGCAGGCTGCAGGCTGCATAATGGATGTGTTTATGGGTGACGGGTGATGGATGTTCTGTTCATGTCCAATGGCACCTTGCAACTCGCGAATCTCGCTGATTTTCCATTTGTGGCTAGTGCAGCTTGTAGAGTGTGGCTGGAGGAGCACTGACCATTTTGAGATACTTTCCTGAGTTTTTGATTGGCGCAAGTTAGCCTGAGCCCGTGGCTAAGCAAGGAGTACGTACTCAGCTCAACGATACGTGCCGTTTCAAAAGATACGTACCCACGTTGTTTCGTTTCTTCCTCCTCCTCCTCCTCCTCCTCCTGGTTGTCTTCATCTCCGTTCCTCATCTACGACAAGGTCGCCAGTGTCTGGACGGATATAGTCGCCAGACAACGCAAACACAAGCCGAGCTTCAACGTCCGCACCATCGCGGCAAGCTACAAACTACTCCACTGTTACCAAGCAATCGTTGCCAGAGATGTCTGTCGCCTGTTTGGGACCACACCGTGCACCACTGGCACCAGCACACCTCCTCTCGTCTCGCTCGGCTCAGCCCAGATCCAAAATGGGCATGCCCCAACCCTGCTGATTAGACTCTCCATGCCGCGTTTCCCACCATCTGTTTGATTGCAGACAACGGCTGCGTTCCTCCCCGTGTGGCTCGGAGACGGGACAACACTCTCTCTCTGAGGTTGCATAGCCATTTACACAGCAACGCAACGCAACGCAAAGCTTTTCGAGGACAATGACCAAACAAGATACTGACGAGGCGGAGCAAGCGTCTTTCGTCCTATCCTCAACCTTTCTGTCCAGTACATAGTACATACATGGTCACTGCCGAATCACTCCACTCCCAATGAGTTCATACGGCATACCGGTGCAGAGTAGCATCTTTGCACATCACCAACATCTATCTACTGCGTACGAAGTATCCGTACCTACTTGTGAGGCCCAGGACTAAAGAATATGGGTCTCTCTTCGCGGATGCCTGGTCACCCCCGGCCCCTACGTTGCGTTCCACCTCCAGCAAGACGCGGGTATGCAGATCCAGCCCGCGGCAGGCCGTGACAAGGCATGCCATGGCGTGGCGCGGCATACCTGACCTCAGCACCTTTTTCGTACGCACCCAACTGACTGGACGTGGTCGCACTCGCACACACCATTCACAGCTCGCTTTCCCCTCTCATCCATCCTGTCTTTCGTCCCGTTAGTCGCTCAGTCACTCACCCAGTCTGCGTGTCTACCCACCACCGCCTCTCGCTCCCCCACCTTTCTTTGGCTCTCCAAGCTGGACCCCAGCACGTCAGAAAGGGCCGGGGCCAGGGAAGCTCGACCTACCGTCTACGGTGTACATGATGGTAATAGCCTGGCAGTAACCCAGGAACCGGCATCTCACTCACGTCTTGCCCTGCCTCGCCCGTACGGTACTCGGTACTTACGTTGCCGACTTTTGGTCTGTTTGCAAACCAAAGCTCCCCCCGGCTCGCTGGTCTTACTGTCTCTCTCTCTCTTCCTGTAGTGAGCAGGAAGGATCTGAAGGATGAATAGAGCTGCCAGAATGCTGTCTCTTTTGCATTATTTCACCCTCCATATCTCCCACCTCCCCGCCTCTTCTTCTTCTTTTGTGATCTCTTCTTGCTCCGGCCCTTGAATCGTCTTTCCTCTCGGCCTTTGTGTGTAACATTCCTTCGCCCGTTGGCCCTTTCATCACCTTGCATCTTCAAAGACGGGCTCCAACAAACACGCCCCCAGAATCGGCGCCCCCCCAACCTCGAGACTGCAAGCTACTAACGACATCACCTTTGAGCATCTTTGACCCTCGTCAGAGACCAACCTTTGATCCGTGTTACTTGGTCACCTCTGCTCGGTCGTCTCCTTTATTTGTGTTCATGCATCTTTGAGATACCCCTCCCAAGCTATCCACCCAGCTCTACCCTTCTTCTTCAGACCAGACCGAGCGAGCGAGCACTTACATACACACACGTCCAATATGGCAGACTCAGTCAGCCCAAAACAACTCCCCAAAATCGACACAACAATGTCGTCATTCCACACAGAGTCTGTTGAAGATAGACTTCTCTCAGCAACTGCCACCGTGCTAAATTTGCCGAGGAATAGCATAGAATTGTTCGACTCCTTCTCAGACTTGGGCGGCGACAGGCCCACAGCTGTCGCCCTAAGGAAAAGGTGCATGAGCCTCGGACTAGGTCTGAGGACGAGCGACATTCTACGCTGTCAAACCTTGGCGGAGCTTCAGACCTGCATCACCCCCTTCGTTCAGACCGCGCCTGTGTCCAAGGACAAGGACTCCGAAGGAGAGAGCAGCACCTCTCCCTCCGATGTCTTCAGCTCAAGTCCCAGACGAAACAGCGCCTGCTCAACTTCCTCGTGCGATTCCAGCAACAGCTCCGATGCGGCACCAATAAAATCACCACATTCCGAAATCGAACAATTCATCCAGTCTACGCCCCAGATTAGGAGTGCAGCCGTCATCAGGCCAAAGGCTGGTTTCCTAGAGGGTAAGCTCGTGGCCTTCTTGACGTTGGCGTCGGGCCGGATATCGCAAACCAGCCTGTCCAGCATCCGACTCATTCCCCAATCACAGATGCACTTCGCCGGAAGCCAGGTCGCAGCTGTCCGACTGGCTCTCGAAACCTCGGAAGGTTCTCATTCTGTGCCAAACTCATGGATCGTGCTTGACCAGATGCCTTCAAACGGAGATGGCTCCGTCGACCGGAGACGGCTCCAAACATGGATTCAGAACATCAACGAGGACATGTATCACCAAATATCCAGTCTCGAGTCTCACGAGCTCTTCCAGGAGCCCTTGACCGAGATGGAACGAGTTATGCAAAAGAAGGTCGCCGATGTTCTCCGCATACCACAACGGCAAGTCGGCATGAACTTCTCATTCGGTCAACTCGGCGGCGATGACATTTCCGCCATGATGCTCGTTGCGGCATGTCGGACCGAGTCCATCACGGTGAGACCCGAGGACGTTCACCAATGCCCTACTTTGGGGCAACTAGCATCACTCGCATACCGAAAAAACCACCGCACCGACACATGGAACGAGGAATCCACGGAAGGCTTCAAGCTGTCGCCAATACAACAGCTTTATTTCGATACCGGCATTGGCGGTCGCATCGAGCAACGAATGGGATCAGACGGGGGCTACCGGTTCAACCAAAGCCTATTGCTTCGCGTCAAGAACAACTCGACGTTGGAAGATATTCACGCCGCCATTGCTACCGTAGTTGGCCATCACTCTATGCTACGCGCTCGTTTCCGGCCTGGCGTAGATGGCTGGACACAACGGATCATTCCAAAAGTCGACGGGTCTTATGGGTTCCGCTATCACTCGGTGAGCACGACGGAGGAGGTCATGGGCATTATCGCACAGTCACAGTCGAGCATTAACATCGAGACCGGGCCGGTCTTCTTAGTCGACCACTTCCGCACTCATGACGGCCAGCAGCTTGTTTACTTGCTCGCTCATCATCTGGTCGTAGACATGATGTCGTGGCGCATCATCATTCATGATCTTGATGAGCTACTACGAGAGGGCACACTGTTCTCTGAGCGTTCCATGCCGTTTCAACGGTGGAATGAGCTTCAAGAAGAATACATCAGCAGCAACCCGGATCAGCTAGTGATGCCTCACGACTTGCCCAGCGGCCAGTACGGATACTGGGGTCTCGAGGACTCACACAATACCTACGCCGAAATCTCAGTCGCCAGCTTCACTCTCACCCCAGAACTTACAGCAATTCTTCACACAGCATGCAACCAGGTCTTCAAGACTGACATGTCAGATATCTACATGGCGGCACTCCTCCTTTCATTCAGCCAGACATTTCACGATCGTAGAGCACCCGTGGTGTGGAATCAAGAGCACGGCAGAGAACCTTGGAGTCAAGACATTGACATCACAGAGACCGTCGGTTGGTTCACGTCACTGTGCCCTGTGTCTATGCCAGTTGACATGGCCGACGACTTCCTTCACATCTTGCGCAAGATGAAAGATACGAGACGATCAATACCTCGTCGTGGGTGGAACTACTTTGCATCTCGGTATTTTGGCCCCGAGGCCGCGACTCGAAGCACCGAAGGTTGGCCTTTCGAAATCATGTTCACGTATGCAGGGTCGGTTCAACAACTCGAGCGGGAGAAGGGCGTTCTTGAGCAACTCACCATTCCTGGAAGGCTGTGGTCAACAGATGCCGCCGACATTGGCTCGAGCGTGTCTAGGATTGCTCTATTCGAGGTCTCCGCCATGGTCGACCAAGGCTCGGCTTCCGTTCAGATCGTCTATAACAAGAACTCCAACCACCAGGATAAGATTTCTGACTGGATTCAAATGTATGAGCACCTGCTATACGAAGCCATCGGCAGGTTGCGATACCGTGGCCAAGAACTCACTCTGTCTGATGTCCCAATGCTCGACACGACGTACGAGGGCCTGGCGAAACTCAATACCGACCGATTGGTTGCACTCGGCTTATCTAGTGCTCGGGATATCGAGGACGTCTTACCCGTCACAGCGCTGCAGCAGGAGATCCTCATCAGTCAAACCCAAGATTTGGAGACCTGCCACAACAACGCCATCTACGAGTTATCTTCGCCGAACGGAGTCTTGGCTGACCAAGCTCAAATTTGCACCATTTGGCAGCAGATCGTAGCCAAGTACCCTGCTCTGAGGACTGTCTTCATAGACAGCATTTCCGAGAATGGTTTATTCGACCAAGTCATCCTGCGGAAGTGC